TTTTTATACTTCTAAATTGTCCAGGAGAGGTCGTAAAAAATGCGACGAATCTCATTCTGTTGAGAATTTTGTGTCCTTGAAAATGGCATATTAAAAACAGTTATGACCAAGTCTAATGAAACCTGAAAATTAACATATTCGATTTTTTGAAGAGCCCTGCCATTATAATTCATCTATGAAATCTAAGTATAGAATACATTAGATAGAAAACTCAATTAGCTATTTAAAGAACTATTTACATTTGAGCTAGATTCTTCACACTATAGAAAAAAGACCAAAAAACATATCTTATAGTTGAACTTTTTTCACCACCTTATAACATAAGAAAAAAAATAGAAGGCTTTGTCCTGACGAAATAAAACAAAATTTACAAGTATACCAAAAACTACGTTACAAGAATAACAGAAAAAAAAACAGGGATTACAGGACAAATAATAAATAAAATTAGTATTGTTCATTTATTCGTTCATTCATCGCATGTAATCTTTTAATATTAGATAGGTATTGTCAATAATTAACTTTTACATTTTAAAAACAAAGAAAAAAGGTATCAAATAAGCAGAGATTCTATGTAAATTTGAAGTATATATATATATATATATTATTCTCGTCGGTAACATTCGAGGATTACTGACTTATACTGGTCTCTTCGACTTCCGGCTTTCGATAGTACTGTTGTAATAAGTAAATAATGATTACTTTCAGATTTTCATCTGAAAAATAAATTAAGAAGCCGATAAATGCTGTTTACGTTACACATTACGTATAGTGCCATCGTATCTATCGTGCTGGAGGATGTGGGTGTGGGTGTAGATCTTATCTTTACTCACACTATCACAACCACCCTCCACCCACACTCGATACACCCATATCCACAGTCCGTGTCATCGCAATTCTTGCTCCATAGAATGTGAAATTTACATAGTTTCGCCTTACAATAATAGCATAAAGAGTTACCATTAAATGATCTTCAATAACAGATTTATTATGAACTAAAGAGAATATTAAAGAAATCTTGATTATTAACGTAAGGCTTTCTCTTCTTCAAAATCTTATTCTGCGCCAGTTAAATAAAAGTTGCCTGAAATTTTTAGAATATGTTGGGGCTATACTGAAGAGGCAATGGTAAAATTTTCATCTCTATACTATGATGTTTGACAAAGATATTCATGAAACAAAAATCAAAAATAGCTCATTCGGCAATTCATAGTTCTTTGTCGATTCTCATTCAGTCCATGTAATCTCGTTTGTTTAAAAGTACGTGTCAAAATGTAAGACATGATAGAACTTTTTTTTTCTTAAATTTTTATATTTTATATAGAGAAAATGAATGGCAAGTTCAATATCTAAGACAATGCTCTCAAAATGGGCATTTATTTATTGAAGTACTTGTAAACACAATAAAAACAAAACTTAATTAAAAAACAGGCTCTCAAATATGCTCTTCATCTTGACATTCTTCTTCAAAAACATTAATTGATTATACAGAACGATGATCCACATACAAGTTTGTAATGTACGTTCAAAAAACTACTGAACTGAGGAAAAACGAAAAACATTTTCGTTTTCTTTCTGCAGNGAACCAATTGAATTGCACTGTATTTCGATAATACCAGAGCATTTTGTTTGGAAAAACTGATTTGGTATCAATCAAAAATTAATTCAATAAAGAATATATACCAACCAACTACATCATCAGTATGAATTTCGAAGAAAAATCGAAAAAGCATTGCTTATCCTTGGGTACTGTTTTGATAAAAGTAGCAGAAAACTAAGTTTTTGCGGTTTTTGACTTTGACGCACAACTTTTTTTGCTCTTTAAATATTATAGATCGATAGCGCATAAAAAATTACGTACACTGACAAAATTTGACATTGTTTGGAGCCTCTTTCATGAAATGGCTGAAGTTAAAAATTGTATATAAAATAAAAATAATTAATTTTGGGCCCCCTAATGTCAAACTATAGGACAAAATCGATTTGTATAATTAATTTTTTTTTCCTTTTCTAATAAAGCATATGTTTTTATGTATATAGTGCAAATTCCTCCCAGATCTGAAGGATCAAATGAATGATGACCAGGCAAGAAGCTGAATTTTTAGTCATAAGAGTCATCTCGAAATGTTAATGCTTTTTAACTAGGAATACACTTGTGGGCTTTCTAATGCTGATATTCGTAATCAGCACACTCGAATCTATCATTGAGTATATGTTTTGTTTGAATCAACAGAAAAAAATTTTTTCGATGGGCCTGAGGGGACCACATGCCCCCAAATTTTTTTTTCAGCTATCCCAAAATCGAGCTATAAAATATGATCAGGACCTACCCCTAATTCCATTTCAATAAAAAAATACCGATTTTATTAGGGGCGAGAAAATGGCCTTATCCGCCCTCATCCTTTGTTGAATTTGTTGAGTTGTTCCTAAAAAATGAGCAGTCATCCTATTCCGCAATGTTGCACATTCCGGAATCAGTTCCGCCCACCGGAATCAGTTCCAACTAATTCCGGAATTCATCCAACTAATTCCGGAACTCCTCCAACTAGTTCCGGAATTGTGTCCGAGACGGAATTGGTAGGAATTCCCGGGAATTCCGCCTAATTCCTACCGATTCCGTGTGCAATGCAATTCCGGAATTCCGTAACGGAATTCGGTCGTCTTTAGAAGGGTATAACTATGCAACACAAGACAACAAGTGAGGGTGAGGGGAAAGGGTGTGATTCCATCACGGAATTCCGGAATTGAGTCCGAGACGGAATCGGTAGGAATTCCTAGGAATTCCAGGGAATTCCGTCTAATTCCCACCGATTCCGTATTTCACGGAATTCCGGAATTGGTAGGAATTCCGGGGAATTCCTGTCCATTCCGTGTGCGATGCAAGTCCGGAATTCCGTACCGGAATTCGATCGTGTTTCAAAGGATATAACCTTGCAACACAAGGCAACAAGTGAGGGTGAGGAGAGAAAGTGTGATTCCGTCAGGGAATTCCGGAATCGATAGGAATTAGGTTCTAGGAATTCCGGAATTGGTGGGAATTAGGTTGTTAGGATTCCGGAATTATACGAAAGGGTCATTATAGGAATTCCGGAATTGAGGGAACTGATTCCGGGGGCGGAACTGGTTCCCGCAATGTGCAACATTGCGGAATAGGATGTATTCTCCCAAATTCTTGATTTTTGTCGTGCTAGGTATCGGGATGAAATCGTGGCCTTCTGCAAGAATCTATGCTAATGTAATTTGACCGGTGGTACAACTCTTTTTCTCCGTCAATATTGACATTGTCTCGACTAACTGCAGATTCTTGGGAAAATTTTCTTTTGAAAAGCGTAGACAACGCTTACGAAAATCACCCTCTTCTAAATCATCTGGACTTTTTATTTCACCAGTAAGTATACCACGACCTAATCATGAATAGCAGAAGATTTTTATGTCAAGGTCACGGCATGTTTTCAGCACAACAATATTCTCATGTTCGATTTCCAAACTGAAGGATGAATATTCGATTTGTACGACCGACAGTGGATGAACAGCATGAGCGCGTCGTATGATGTTAAAAATAGTTGCAATTCTGAGTACTATTCACTATTCATCTATTAATCCTCCATCATTACTCATCTTCATTTTCTTTCTTGCTTTCTTTTTTTCTTTTATTCTTCCTTTATTTTGGATAATTTGCAATAAAATATGGATCAATTGCTATTTGATGAGAACCAATTAGATTCTTCCATTGTTTCAACCAAGAGTTTCATTTTCGGCTAATTATTATTATCTTTTGCATTATGTTGAATTTATCTTTGTGAATTCAATTGGATTTATTTTCAGTCTCGTTGTTAGCATAAAAAAATATTCTACTCTATTTTGCAGTGACGACAAAAGCTGCAAAGCATTTATGAAAAATATCTGTTTCCTTTGTGTCGAATTAATTGATTAGTTAATTTTTATGAGAGTCAAATGCAACATTGCCATGTCTTCCATATAATATCAAGAGTTTTGGAGAACAGAACGACATCGTTCTCTCACATCGTACATCAAGAACATTATTTGGGTCGGGTAAAAAGCACATTTTCTCTTTGCGTCTTCTACGTTCTTGTTATTGGGTTCGTCTTTTTTTTTCTTCTCTTCTATCTCGCGTTGAATATATAGAGCAGAAATTACGCTCTCGTCTCATTTTTTCTTTTTTGCTTTTTACAAAACTCGGCGTGTGCTTGTCAACATGGATGATGTAGAGAATTGTAACAATGCTGAAGAAATATCATCGAATATAATCGATGTTGTGATTGTTGGCGCTGGTTTTGCTGGACTCTACATGTTATATCGTTTACATGAGAGCGGTTTTTCTGCAAAAATTATCGAAATTGCCGATGGCATTGGTGGTGTATGGTATTGGAATTGTTATCCAGGGGCCCGTTGTGACATTGATGCAATGCAATACTCTTATTCGTTCTCTGAAGAATTACAACAAGAATGGAAATGGTCAGAAATACTTCCTACTCAACCAGAAATATTACGTTACCTGAACTATGTGGCGGATAAATTTGACTTACGCAAAAATATTGAGCTCGGAACTCAGGTGAACGCTGCCATTTTCGACGAGACGCACTCTCGATGGGAGATAGAGACAAGTCGAGCCCATATGTTTCATTACGATCAAACTGCGACTCAATTACGGCGTAACTGCGATCGCACTGTGACCCGTAATTGCGAAGAATTCCGACGCAGCTACGCGTAACTGCAAATTTTTTGTCGTAACTGCGCGCAACTGCGATATTTTTTTCGCAGTTACGCGCAGTTACGATCAAAATTTCGCAGTTACGCGCAATTGCGACGCAGAATTGGCTCTACGCGTAACTGCGACGCAGTCGTCAAAAAAGTGGCGACATGGGAGGTGATCGAATATTGGCTAAATTTTGCGTAATGGCTACGGGTTGTCTCTCGGTTCCTCAAATTCCTCGCATCAAAGGACTCGAGACTTTCAAAGGAAATCATTATCATACGGGTCGATGGCCACAGACAGGAGTCAACTTTGTGGTCGTCGAGTTGCCGTTTTTGGTACTGGTTCATCAGGCGTTCAAGTGATTCCGGTTATCGCTCAGCAAGCCAAGCATCTTTTTGTATTTCAAAGAACGGCAACTTTTACCGTTCCAGCACAAAACAAACCACTCGAACCAGTATATGAGCAATGGTGGAAATCGAATTATGCTGAACATCGAAAACAGATGCTCGAAACGATTATCGGCTGTTTGGCTCCAGACACAAGAAATTGTTCAGCAATGTCAGTGACATCCGACGAACGATTGCAAGAATATGAAAAACAGTGGCAAAAAGGAAGACTCAATTTTCTAGGCGCATTTAACGATCTAGTTCTCAATCAAGAAGCTAATGATACGGCAGCTGAATTTCTACGCATAAAAATTCGTGAAATTGTTAAAGATCCAGCTGTTGTCGAAAAATTACTTCCATATGGTTTTCCACTCGGTGCGAAACGTCTTTGCCTCGATACCGATTATTTCGACACATTCAATCATGACAATGTAACACTGGTCGATCTTCGACAAGAATCGATCAATGAAATAACACCGACTGGAATTCGAATTGGTGATAGAAAATATGAATTAGATGACATTGTGTTTGCCACAGGATTTGATGCATTCATAGGCGCTTTATTCAAAATTGATATTAGAGGTCGAGCAGGTAAAACTCTTCGAGAAAAATGGGTTGGTGGACCATCTACATATCTTGGTCTCATGACGTCCGATTTTCCAAATCTATTTATAATGACCGGTCTTGGTAATCCAACAGTATTTGCCAATGCAGCTCTTTGTATTGAACAAAATGTTGATTGGATAGTCAATTGTCTTGTCTATCTTCGCACAAATCATCACGAAACGATAGAACCGAACGCAGAAGCAGAGAACGACTGGGGTAAATATATAAATGCAGTGGCTAATTTTACTCTCTTTTCCAAGGCTGACTCTTGGTTCAATGGAGCGAATATTGAAGGCAAGCCGAAGGTTTTTATGGCATGTGCATGTGGTGTTAGTAATTATCGAAAGAAGTGTCAAGACATTGTAGTGAATGGCTACCAAGGTTTCATTTTAGCGGAGCACTAAATGAAGTACATCGCTCTTAAATGGACCCAATTGACTACGAAAAACTTGGATTAACTAGCTGTATACTACTACTAACTTTATTTTTAATAAATTGTCATGACTATCTGAATACATGAAAAATGAAATATTGAAGACTTGCAAGATGTTACATTTATGTCGTCTCATGTGGTAGCTGGACTACACAGTAAAATACAGGGGTGATCTGTATTCTCTGATTTCATTTTTCTCCTATCGATCAAGAAACAATACAGACTAGATCAGTAATAAATCGTATTGGTATTTTTTGTCTAGAACGCAAATAATCAAAGCTAATTGAACTGATGGTGTAGGTTTATTCTATTCTATGTGGGATTGAAATATAAAACACGATTGAGTCACTTTCTTTGGAAAAATCGATTCCGATCCTCTTGTACGGGATCGAAATAATCCTCCAAAACACAATTTGGTCTTCATTTCCATGCGTGATTTCAACTGAGAACTCAGGAATGCAGATATGATATGGGACCTCATTGAGATGCATGCAGATTTTGTATTATGTATATTTTGTTAGTTGCAATAGTTTTGAGTCATACAATACACACTGACAAAGTAAGATACCAGGTGATGACTAACTTGTGCAATCAGAGTTACACTTCTTATCTGTTCTTTGGAGTGCTTACAAGCATAATGATAAAGCCGAATTTATTCATGAATATACTGAAAAAAAGTGCGAGTATACTACGCAGTCTTTATCAATACTATGTATATGATGCATAAAATCTTTACATTGATATTAATTTTAATTCTGACAGAGAACAATGCTCGAACAAAATCGGTGGTCATGGCAATGAACACTAGTGAGTATGCTCTTGAACATCGTTGTATTTGGTCAACATGTAATGTGACTGGTTATCCATCTACATTTCTCGACTATAAATTGGATTGCTGCACTTTACCAGTGCCACTGAATTATGCTCGACCGGATCGACTCATTACCATTTCTATGTCTCGTCTAAGTCCTCTTCGATCAACATCAGACAATAATACTTTATTCATTCTAATGGGTGGGCCAGGTGGATCAGGTTGGAGCCTGGTGGAAAATGTTGCATTACTTATTCCAGCTCAATTTGGGATTACTCTAATATTACCCGATCATCGAGGTACAGGACTGTCAACAGTGTTAGGCTGTGATGATAATCATTTACAAACAATCACCACAGACTGTATTACTTATTTGACATCGAAATGGACAATCGAAGGATTAAATCAATTTACGATCACAGCAGCTGCACACGATTTATCAGTACAAATGCAAGTTTATCAAGCTGATCATCCTGGACGTATTTCAATTTACAGTGTCTCATATGGTACCTTATGGTTAGATCGTTTTCTACAGATTTATCCTACACTAATTCAATCGGCAATTATGGACGGTGTGATCAATCCTATTTTGATATCTATTAGTCGATATGATTTGTTCGCATCACAGGTTGGATTACAATTCCTAACCTATTGTCAACTACAGCCTGAATGTCACAGTTATTTTCCAGTCGATCAGCCACCTTATGTCATGCTCTATCGCATTTTAGCCGAATTGGATACAAATAAGCAACAATGTATCAACAAGTATTTCAATGAAGATAAACCAAAGTCCGATTGGCTACGCAATTTATTTTTCAATATGATTCAATCAGGAGATACTTATATGGATCGTACTGTAATTCCAGCCGTAATATTTCGTTTAAACCGTTGTAATGTAGACGATGTCAATGTGTTAAATTTCTTCTTTCGTTCAAGTTTCAGTAAGATTAATCAAATGCAAACGAAACAGAATGATCCTGGATTTCTATTTTCTAATGTTCTCAATTACAATATTGTCCTATCGGAGATGTGGTTAGCACTAAATGAATCTGAAGTCGACAAAGAAACCATTATTGCTTGGTATAAATCGACTCTCATGGCGCCAAACAATGCCGAACAGTTGATTTCATTACGTGCTCAATGGCCAAAATATCCATTAGATCAATATTATTCGAAGGTAGCCTCGTATACACCATTGTTAATGATTTCAGGTCAATTGGATCCATCGACAATGTTCGATCAAGCTTCTCAACTTGCATCGATTACATCGAAAACACGAACATTCTATGCAATTCCACTAGCTGGACACATCACTGTGAATATTGCTCAAGTTGGTTATTATTGTCCATTGCATTTAGTATGTGCGTGGGCGTTTCCAACTATTTTTCCATCGGAATGGAATGATCCACAATGTATACGCTATCTGCCAGCAACTCTTGATTTCGTCGGTGCTACCACATTAGGACAAAAATATTCAATGAAACTCTTGAATGTCAGTCGGCCATTTGGAAATTATAGCTATGATCCAATTCCGAGTTCGAGCTATCGTCTGAAAGAAAACATTTCTTACTTTTCTCTCATATGCCTATTCTTATATTTTCTATTTGGTACCTTTTTAGCACAATAATTTCCTAGAATACACCTCATGATACTTCATCTCTTCTGATAATTATTCACTTTGATCAGTCATATTGCCTAGTATATCCGTGATTGGAGCTTGATCACCTCTTTTTTATTGGTTAATACTCTATGGAGGATGTGGGGTGTGGATGAAGAATGAAATAAACCCATACCTACACCTTAGTTTGAAATACATCGAAATGGGTGATCTTGAATGAGCAATGAATTGTATACTGTTGAATACATTATTTCAGTGTCAGTCGCATCCACATTTCCGAAGATCTTCAGCATAATACTCGGAAGAATTATATGCATTGTTCCGTTTGTTTTCCTCTTCGATACACAAGAATCTTCTTTTTTCTCTAAGTGAAAGCGGCGATATACGTTGCAAACATTAACACATAATTGAATGATTCAATGCTGTTGCTCCCATGTAACATCTGAGTCTAGAAGAAGTCAGTCATGCGAATTTCTCTTTATATCCAATGAAAAAAATCATGATGAAACGAAACAAAGAGAAGCAAGAACATTGATACTTTAGTAGCATTGTTTAATACAGTCTTGTGCTTCACATCTGATAAATAATGAGTTTGGATTGCCGCGATGTAAATAACATCGCTTACTACAAATCCATCGGAATGTGGGTGTGATGTGAAGAGACAAGATCCATACACACAGAGGCCCCACATCCCACACCCATCTTTTTCTATTCACTTCATTAGACAATTCATATTTCCGAGAGTATGATGATGACATCGATATGTTTTGTGAGATTTATTGTTAGAATCTTTCTACTTGAACAAAACACAATTATAGAAATTGAAGCGTAAACTCATTCAATGAAGGAAACTCACCTGAATGATAATGTTTGGAAAAAAAAATCAACGATGTGTCATTCGCTGCTTCAAGAATATAAAGAGAAATATTGTTCTTTTCTTCCTTTATGACAAAACAAAATTTGCTCATGGCAAGAATACAATTAGTCATAAAATGAAATCGACGACACTAGTCATTTTCAAAACTTTTGATATAGTCATTTCGTACAAAGAACAGACCGATTCAGTCTATAGTAAATTTGTTCAGTTCAATCGTGTTACTTTTTCTTTGATCATCCTTATGAATCAAATAGTAATGAAAAATTTTCAACAACTTGTGCAATATTTGCCTTTGATGTAGCTGAGAAAGAATAAAAAACACGATAAAACATTTCAAGAACTCAATAGAGATCAAGCGGACCACGATAAATAACCGATGAATCATTTTAAATTGTCTATTCATGTGGAAGTATGACATATTTTTGATACGATTTCGATTCCAATCGAATACCAACTTAGCGATGAGATGTGTGAGTATGTACAACTGATAAAAATATATGCCGGCATACATCTTTACAATCTAATGTTATCATTTTATTACTGACGCAATTCTGTGAATTTTTTTTTATCAATCCTACTCTTTTGAAGATTAGTCATTTCTGACTCTCAACATGTTTTTCTTTCCAACAAACATGATTGTAAAATCACGAGTATAAATATGACGAATGTATCTCTTCCTTCGTAATTTATTTCAGCAGAAACGATGAAAACAGCGTCTAACAAATGTGCACTATCTCTCATTATATTACCGGCCGAGATTCTCCATTATATTTTCGATTATCTTGATGCCAAGACCATTTTTTTCTTATTGCCCAAAGTATGTACAAGACTTTCAGCAATTTCCAATAGTTACAATCGATATAAATTGTTATTCAGCGCCGAGTCTGAACCAAAAGTTCAAATTCTATGTCGTCTCATTCGACCTGAAACTGTTGTTCGACTTTCTCTTTCGAATCTCATCAAAGAAAATACCATCCAATTGTTTTTATCACTTGTCGATATATACCAATTTACTCGGCTTCGTTCGTTGACTCTTTCGAATGTCTCTGACGATGATCTCGATTCAATATTACATTCGAACATCACCAATTCTCTCACATCATTATCAATTGACTCATCAGTACTCGACAACAGTGATACATTAGCTCTCATATCATCCATTATCGCACAAAAAGGTCTTCATGAACTAAATTTATCGATTGATGCTTATGGAATAGATCAGATTTCGTGGCCTAAACAGTGTTGTACATTACGAAAACTGGCGATAAAGAGTTGTACCAGCGAACAGATCTATCTTATTCTTCGACAATTACCTAATCTTCGTCACCTGAAACTTGATCATTTGGATTGGTTCGAAAATGAGAGAAGTATTATTTGTGAACCATTTGAACAATTGATCTCACTGACCATTGGTCAAACGAAAATGCCATTGAGTGAACTGGGGTACTTAATTTCTCTAACACCATCACTGGTTGATCTGTACCTAATAGAATTGAATGTTTCAGTCAATGCGTACTACATTACTCAATGGGAGAAATTGATCTCAACACAATTAACTCGACTTGAAAAATTTGAATTTCGAATCATCTGCGATCAATATGACTCCGCTAATATTGAATCAATTATTGCTCCTTTTCGAACACCATTTTGGCTTGAACAAAAACGATGGTATGTTACTTGCATATACATGCACAATGGTCAAAGTTCGGCAATCATACTGCGCTTGCCATCAATTTCTCAAGATTGTTACCCATACTCATATTGGCACACGGTTATTTATTGCTCTACTTCGACTAAAACAAACGACGAGACAGTAAAAAACAGACCTGCATGGAGTACTCGTTTACATGTGGCATCAATGATGTATATTAACTCTCTAAGACAAGTATGTAGCATTGAGAACCCAATATTTTTGTTTTGAAAAACAAAACTGTCGTCTTTCTATAACGAAGTTAAAAAAGGGGTCACGTTGATATATTTTCTCACCGGTTATTAATTGCAAAACTATAACTTATTAGAAAATGAAAGAAATGTGAGTATTTTTCGAACAACATTCTATAGGAATAAGATAGACAATTGCGATTTTCATCGTTAGCGAAATTCACGAATTATAGGCATCTTGCTTTGAGTTTCTATCTAATTCTTCAAGAAAAATAAGCAAAACAATTGACTTTCTTGCTATATTTTCCTAAAAATTCATCTTATCGACTTGCCTGAAATTTCAATTAGCTTTTCAAGACATTTGAAACGAAGTCTTTGACTAAAATGAGACTAAATCTACCCGATGTAGTTCAATACATCTTTGTTGTTGTTTTTTTCTATCGATGAAAGTTACAATTCTCTATCTTGTTCCTATCAAAGTTTATTCGAAAAATATCCATCCTTATTCTATTTTGAAATGAGCACTAGTCAGAGAATCTCTCAAGATCTTTAATCGTTACTGAACACAAAACTCCACACTGATATATTATCGGAAGTAAAACACTTCAAAATTTTCACAATTATCAATTTATAGAAAGATGAATTTCAAAAGAAAAGTTTTTTGACTAAGATGAAAGAATCGCTGTAAATTCATTTCGAAACAGAATAAATTGTATTTCTATTGTCATTTTCAGCTTGAAGCGTTCAAGGGAGATATCATCAAGTATACAAACCGACTTACACTTGACCTCGATCGGATGTGCTCTGGTCACTCACTTCTACAACTTTCTAATTTGATTGACTTCACTCATATCAAGGAAATCTGGTTTGTCATAAGTTCTGATTACAAGTTGAGTTCGATGGTAGTGAATAGTTTTCTCACAAAGACATGGAATGTTCACTCTGTTGGAGTATCGCTTTTGGCCAATACGAAAACAACTGTGGAAGATATTTGTTGCATGTTAACTCATCGAATCAAACATCTAAAAGTGAGAACATATAATCTTGAGTACATTAAAGGTATTCTGGACCAACTCCGATGGTTACCATGCTTCACATTTATTCGTCCTATTGGTTCGTCTAATTTATGGTCAGAGGTTATTGCATGGCTCAAAAGCACAAGGAAAGATTTTATATTTGAAGAAAATTATGATTCTCTCTGGATACAATTCAATAGAAAGAGTACTCGTTGATAATCAATAAGATTGCTGTGTCATTGAATCGGAAAAGAAGTAAAATCAAATAGTCATTAATTATATCGTCACAACATTCGTATATGCATTCGACAACTGTTCTCAGACAAACAAAACTTTCATCTATTTCGTATGAATAGAAAAGATGTATAACAAAGAAATTTAGAATATTCTGATGACATTTACTAGACTATAGACGTACTTATGTTACTCGATCATTCTATTTTATCAAATATAATCAAGACACTTTTACATAATGAAAACCAATGTTTTACGCTGTACACACTAACAATCAAGAAAAATGTCAATATTGTCAGATACCGTACTTTTGGATAATATATTTTACAGAAATGAATGCCATTTCTATTATTTTTTATGTTTTTCTTATAAAAAAATCTAGAAAATTTTTCTTTTTCATTGGAAAATGTCATTCGATAATTATGTCATAGAATAGTATCATTATTCAAGAGACAAAATTAGAATGCTTCGATCGATCCTCTATGGATGATGTTGTTCGTTGACACGATTGAAATTTCGTTAGCATATTGAACCAAATTCAAAATGAACATAGATTTAGACATGATGTGAAAATAAATGAGTTGAAACACGTGTACAACAGATAGAAAACACGATAAAAGTTCATCGTAGTAAGATATACGGAATCAACTGAGTAGTATTTCTTTGAATAATGATCCTGAGTTCCTCTATCTACAAACACTATTGAATAGAATGTAATACAGTCTAAATTTTTTTGACATCGATACATGAAGAAATACCATATCGAAGAATGCGTTTTACTTGATTATAGTCATACCGATAAATATCAATGAAGAATTGAATGCCATTGTATCATCAACAACGATTCAGGTACATTGGATTCATCCAACTTTTCATTTTAATCATCTATTGAGTGATATGTGGGAATGATCAACGCAGACTTTGTTGGTGAAGAAACATACCGTATGCTGTATTTCTGACTGCTATCAGTCGTCCAAGTTACAGTTCAACAATGGTGAGCTAGACAATTAAGATTCGTACATTTATAATGAAGTTCTAGATAAGAACGACATTGTAACTCTGGATTATTCAATTGAACACAGTGTTGTAAGCAATTAAAATGATATGGATATAACTTAGCATCATATTTTCTCTAATGAAGTTTGTGTTGCTCTAACAGAACAATCTCTTTTGCTTACAGAGATGCCACTCAATCCAAAACCATATAAAGAAAAAAATCATATAGATTCTCTTTTCGAGCGATTTAACACAGTACGTGTCTCATTTGAATTTTATTCCATCATCATTTGACTTCTCTTTCATAGCCGTGTACAACATAATCATTCAAACAGTTCTTTTACTTTATGTCAGTAGTTAAATAACCAGTGTTCTGTTCGATAGTGATGATGGACATAAGTACAAGTCTTCTCTTTGCTCATACTGATCGATATCCATCGGGGCAAAGGATCGAACGATGGTATTTTCTCGAACATTGTCTCAATAATAATACTTA